GACCCAAAAAACCTGAGTCAACTTATACACTGGTCAATGTAAATACTGTATTTTAGCACTTATTTAAAAAAGAACCAACCCAGGGTGCAAGGCAAGCGTGTAATCTGTCATGGAAGCACTGACACACACCCCTCCACTCTCTCATCCATCCAGCCTTTAGAGTGAGCAGAAACAGTTATGACTGCCAGAATTTTTGTAAGCTCTTTGGCCTCTTTTCCTTTGCCTTATCCCTTAGATCCTTTGTTACATGGTCCTAAGTTTTATCTTTGACTTATCCATGCGTCATATCAAAATCCATAATGTTGGCTCCCCAAACCTGCCCTCAACTTATACATGAAGGCGACTTATATTCGATTATATATAGTAAGTGCTGATTTGCCATTCAGGAACTAATTCAGGCCATCTACTCAAATTGGCACTAGCAACTGATAGCAGATTTGGGAGGTCATGAGAGGACAGCAAATTGTTAGTTATCTCTATTTGCTATTATTGTATTATTATTGCCAACAATTTAGAGAAGTGCTTGTTGGATTTTCTTATTTGTGTACCAATACAACTTAGTTGCTTTGGAATATGGTACATTTTGAATTTGCTGATTCAGGATTATAACTTGGAAAACTTATGCTAGGATAACTCCCAGTGGCCAGCGGTCATGCTGACTGAAGGATTCTGAGAACTGTGCAAATAATAATAATATTAATAAATTTCCCCCATGTTCTGGTATAGATGTCCCACTTCATGCAGTATCATGATACTTCACTTCACATGATACTTTTGTAATTTATAGTGGGGTTATTAGCTAGATCCTAGCTTGGATTCTATATCTGTACCATCCCAATGGGCTTCTGCAAAGGCACCAGGTTTGAGGCTTAAGTTACTAGCTGTGGGAAGAAAGGATGTATTTTTACTATATCACAGGCTGTTGGCCCTCAGTCAGAAAGAGCTGACATGGTCAATCAATCTGAAGGTTGAAATACAAAAGAATCCTGCTCCTCAGTGAATTATGCTCCTTGCAAGATGAGGTGCCCCAAAAGAAATTTAACCAATGGGAACTGCAATTAATATCTGTAATATAATAGGCTCAATTATAATTACTGCTAAGGTAATTATATTACAGCTAAGGAAAGATGTGTAAAAATAAGGCCCTGCAAAAACAAGTTTGTTGTTTTTACTTTTCTTTACTTTTCGGTTCCTGGTCTATCTTTCAGGTAACCACCAGCATCATCAGGCAAGCCCTCTTTTAATGGACTGTTCATAATGCCATAATTTCCCTTTGCAGTGAAAGTTTTGCAAACAGTCAAAGAATCAAGACATAGCATTAATTGCTCCTATAAGCATTAAATTCCACTCAGAGAGAGAGAGAGAGAGAGGATAAATCAAATTGGGGGAGGAGGAGGAACTTAGTTCAAAGCAGAACTATTAAAAATATTTATTGTTAGTATTACATAAAATGAAAAATATATTGTTATGCACTCTTAAACATTGAAACTTCTAATCCATTCAGTACAAAGTGAAGCAATAAATCAAAGTAGCAGAAAAGGGAGCAGCTTCTAGCATAGCAGCAATAAAACAGTAGCTAACATCTCTGAGACTCAAGTAGGCTTGACAGTCTTGAAAGGAGGGGGGCATGGATTGAGGGAGGTCAGAGGAAGGAAGAAATTATGAGACTGTCATGTTCTAACAAGCTTGTTAATCCTTAGCATTTCTGCACACATTCATTGTCCAAGGAAAGAAAAACAGGGCATCCTAGAACATTCAAATTCACTGTAGCCTCTCAGATCCCCTTCACTCAACCATTTTTTCCACCCTGGCCTGGATTTGGTTTATCTGTCTCATCACATAATAGGTTATGTTTGCCACTGCTTCTTTGTAGAAAGCTATAGACCTGTCCAGTTCAAAAAGTGGCCTAATAGTTTGTTTTTGTGTGAAATAGATGTCAGAGTGCTGGATTTGGGAGATCAAGGTTCAAGTTTCCATTGAGCCATGAAGCTCACTTGAGTAACCCCAATTGTCATCATCTTGTCTTCCTTCTCTTCTTCCTCCTCCTCCTTTTCCTTCTTGCTCTTTCTTTCTGACTGACCTGCCTCACAGGACTGTTATGAGGACAGAGTGGGGAAGAGGAGAGCCATTTACACTGGCTTACATTCACTAGAGGAAAAGGCAGTAAATATAATTAATGATGGCCAAATATCTTTGTTCCATATTTGAAGGATTGTCAGAGGATGGTCCTTTATTCAGAAAGGATATCTACTGTAGGACTGATTTATTAGCTGTATTTATATGTATCAAATAAGCTCTTTGATATCATAAACTGGGCAGAATCTGAAGCCAACTGCCGCTACCACAATATAAGAGTGAAGTTAATTTGTAGTGGAAAACCAGGTGTGTGCACACACAACAACAACAAAACAACAATAACACTTCAGCATGAATCCTCCTCAGCACTTCTTTTGACCATTACATACAGAGCATTTGAGAACCAATTGCTCATGAGGAAATGGCCTTTAATAATGTTCTGTATTATCTTTAATAAAACATGTCAATTACAATTAATAGATATAAAATACAGATAATAAAGTTATATATAAAGCTTAATAGCAAGTAGGTCATATGCAATTCTATATATTCAGTATATCTCCATAACTTAGTAGAGATTATTCAATATAAGTTTACTTATGCTGCTTTCTATAAATCTATTTGTATATATTTTACACAGGTTCGTGATATAAATTGAGTTATCTTATCTTTTCTTATCTTTATTCTACCAATTAATCCAGATATTTAAATTGTTCTTACTTTTTCTCTTCTTTTCGCCATTTCTCTCATGTCCATAAGATAAGGGACAGGTTTTATATGTTTTAGTATGTGTTTATATGTAAACAGTACCTTTCCTTCTCTACTGGTAATGCCTCTCCACGATCAGTTCATCGATTGTTTAGAATCCTAGGTCTGCTTTTATGTTCTTCTGCCTTTATCCTTGTCTTTTAATGCGTAGTCTCTCTTTTAATTAGACATATAGACTTGTATACTTGTAAGTTTTGTAAAATTCTATAAAGAGAATTACTACAACAATCAACGCAGAGAAATTGAAGCCAACAAGAAAAAAGGAAGGACAAGAGATCTCTTCTACAAGATCTGGGAAATCAAAGAGAAATTTAAACCAAAGGTGGGGATGCTCTATGATCAGAAAAGAAACATAATACACAACCACAATGAAATTAAAATCCAGTTATGGAAACAATACTCAAAAGAGCTATATAAAAAATGTAAAAGGTTGAATGACACATGGGAAAAGGAAACTTATAAAGACGAACCACAAATTTTGGAAAACAAAGTGAAACCACACTCAAAGCAACTGGGAAAAATAAATCACCAGTAACAGATGACATACCGATAGAACTGCTACAATTCACAGAGGGAGATACAATTACAGTTCTAACCAAAATTTAACCAACAAATATAGAAAACAAAGCAGTGGTCCACAGACTGGAAATCATCAATATATATTCCCATCCACAAAAAGGGAGACACAAAAAGATTGCAGTAATTACAGAACCATTGCACTGATTTCCCATCCAAATGAAATCATGCTGAAAATTCTGCAGCAAAGATTCCTATTCTATATGGAACAAGAAATCACAGAGGTGCTAGCTGGATTCAGAAAAGGAAGAGGAACTAGGGATCACATTGCAAACATGCAATGGATAATGGAGCGCACCAGGGAATTCCAGAAGAAAATCTGCATGTGCTTTACTGACTATAGCAAAACCTTTGATAGCATGCATCACAAAAAACTGTGGCTTGCTCTTAGAGGAATGGCAGTGCCAAAACATTTGATCATCAGGATGTGTAACTTGTACTCAGGGCAAGAAGTTGCTGTTAGAACAAAATACAGAAAAACAGAATGGTTTCCAATTTGCAAAGGGGATCAGGTAAGACTGTATACTATCATCCTATTTATTCAACCTGTATGCAGAAATTATCATATACATACACAGCAGGCTTAGATTCAGAGGCAGGAGGAGTGAAGATCAGGGGAAGAAACATTAATAATCCTAGATATGCAGGAAACACAATACTACTAGGAGAAACCAACAAGGGCCTGGAGCAATTATTGAAAAAGGTGAAAGAGGAATGTGCCAAGGTAGGCTTAATGATAACATCAGGAAAACAAAAATAATGACCACAGAGAATATACAAGATAACAAGAAAATTGAAATAGATAGTTTCCATATTTTGGATCAAATATTGACCAGAACAGACACTGCAGTCAAGAAATCAGAAGAAGACTAGGACTGAGAAGGGCAACTATTAAAGAACAAGACAAGATCCTAAAGTGCAAAGATACTCCTAACTCTGAACACTACATTGAGGATAGTCCAAGCCATTATATTTTTTATCACCATCTAGGGATGTGAGAGCTGGACAGTGAAGAGCTGGACACACAAATGGATTCCAGAACAGATCAAGCCTGAACTCTTCCTGAAAGCCAAGATGATGAAACTGATGCTGTTGTACTTTGGCCACATCATAATAAGGCATGACTCATTGGAAAAGACAATGATGTTAGGAAAGGTGGAGGGCAGTGAAAGAGAGGAAGACTGCATGCCAGATGGTGAGACTACATCAGGGCCTGAGCCTGCAGGAACTGAGCAGAGCAGTTGAAGACAGGTGATCTTAGAGATGTCTCATCCACAGGGTCACCATGAGTTGGGCTCAGCTCGAGAGGAGTTAACAATAACAAACTGCCTTGAGTCCCAGGTCTGGGGAAGAGAAAGGATATAAATAAAAAATAATAATAATCAGTATCATCATTATTCCCATCATCAAAGCTATACTTTGTCTTGTTGTGTGCCTTCAAGTCCTTTCCAACTTAAGATAACTCTAAGATGACTGGATCATAGGGTTTTCTTGGCAAGTTTCATTAGAGGGGCTTTGCCATTTCCATCCTCTGAGGCTGAGACAGTGTGACTTGCCCAAGGTCACCCAGTGGGTTTACATGCCCAAGCTGGGATTTGAACCCTGGTCTCCAGAGTTATAGTCCAATCCTCAAACCACTACACAAAGCTGGCTCTTTATACTTTGACACAGAGGTGAAAAAACATCAGTGGGGGGAAGCAGACGAGTGGCCATGGGCCACCCCAGGATGCTGCACCGCGGGACCAAGGCGCAGCTTTGCCACCCCTAAAAGGAGTGCTAAATTGGCGCTCCTTTCACAAGGAAAGGACTTGAAGGCACACAACAAGACAAAGTATAGCTTTGATGATGGGGATAATGATGATACTGATTATTATTATTTTTTATTTATATCCTTTCTCTTCCCCAGACCTGGGACTCAAGGCAGTTTGTTATTGTTAACTCCTCTTGAGCTGAGCCCAACTCATGGTGACCCTGTGGATGAGACATCTCTAAGATCACCTGTCTTCAACTGCTGCGGCGCACCTTCGCCAAATCTTCCGCTGCAGTGCGTGAAAATGCTGCAGCGGGAGTCCTCCTCGGAGCGCTGGCCGTGCGGAGGGCTGGCTGCTCCGAGGACGACCTGGGGAAGGGGTTGGGGCGCCGATCGTGCAGCTGCCCCTCCCCTTCCCTGCCCCCAAGACGGCCCTTTAAGCCGTCTGCTTAGGGCCTAAGTTCCACTACTTTTTCTTTGTTACTACATAAATAATTATCCTAAGGAATATGAATATGCTTAACTAGTTAGAAAACCAAAAGAAGTACTAAAAGACTGAAGAAGTATATTAGCTTTACTAGTAGATTAGTGAAACAGAAAAGATTAGTAAAAGGTTTATACAGGCAGCAATTTCTGGAACAAATTTTATTGAAAGTGTTGAGGTACCTTTTCATTGCCAGGTCAAACCTGTATATGAGGTATCAGGATTATGGTAGGATTAACCTCTGTGCTAAATATACTATAGATTAAGTGTCCTGACCAACTAACAAAAAGTCTTGTGACACTTTAAAGACTAGCACATTTATTGTGTAATAAGCTTTCATGAACTAGATTTGTGTCAATAAAAGCTTATGCCACAATCAATCTGTTAGTTCTTAAGATGCCACAAGATTCTTTGCTGATTTTGCTGCTAACAGGGCTGCTTCCACCCTGGAAACTGGCCAAAATGAGGCAGCAGTAGAAGACAACCATCCACATGGAAATACATTATTAGTTAGTGGCTTATCCTGATATGAACAGCATTTTGCTGGATAGATTATTTGTCTCCATTCTAATACGGTAAGTATTGTGACATGATAATCACAATCGCAGTTTCACACACATGAAACACATTACATTGTTGATGCTGTGGCCACTGAGTGAAAAAAAAATGCAAATATGTATGCATCTTACAAATGTTTATGTTGGATCAAAAACAACTGTCAAAAGTTCTTCAAAGTTGTATTATAAGTGATAACCTTTATTGATAAACTAGATAGATAGATATTTGCTTCATGAATTTCAAATGCCCTATTTATTTTTTCCCTTCGGGATCTGCCAAACGTGTCAAATAAGATAATTGTTCCACTCCTCTGAGGCAAGGACAAGCACACTTATCAAGCTGCATTGTGTCCAACATCTTTTGGGTGCTACCACACTTATAATCATCTTAATCACACCACCCTTCAGCTTTTTCCCTGCAGGATTCAACAGGCTGCTTACAACAGATAGTGGCCCACAATTCACAAGTGACTCACTCTGGTAAATCTCTAAGAGTTATCAGTTAATATTCATTGTGCCACATTAATTGGGGTAGCAAAACCAGAAAGAAACCCTACTAAGGAGCCAAATGTGAGGGTGATTCACAGTGGCATTAAGCATTAGGCATTCATGGTTTATTGGGGTATGATTGGGATTGTAATTTATGGAAATTTTAATGCTGTAAACCACCCCGATTGCTCTACAGAGGGGCGGGATATAAATTATTATTATTATTATTATTATTATTATTATTATTATTAAACAAAACAATACAAAACAATGAACCTTTTAAAAACAACAAACTTTTAATGACTATAAAATAAAATGAGCCCTGCTAGAGCAAACCAAAGGCCACAGTGGCCCATAGCAGGACACAAATTCAATTGCTCTCTCCTAAGATTATTGCATGGAGAAATGCTGCTGCAATGGATGTGGGATTGTAAAGATAAAACCAGGTTTTATCGCATGCATTGGTGGCCGGGCGAGTGCAGCCCATCTGCATCCCGGACCTCAGCTGCACTTATCCCATGGCTTTTCAAAAACAGCAGACTCCAGTTTTTGAAAATCAGCCAGATAAGCATGGCTGAGATCTGGGATGCAGACGGGTTGCACTCGCCCAGCCACCAGTGCATGCAATAAAACCCAATATCATCTTTACAATCTCGTGTCTATCACAGCAGCATTTCTCCATGCAATAATCTCCCATGTTCCCCAACATCTTGTATTCAGAGGCAAGCTGCTTCTGATCAGAGAATTTGCCTATAGACATCATGTAGCCTTTGGCAGCCTTATCCTTTGTGAATCTTTCTAATCCCATTTTAAAATTATCTAACTTGGTGGCTGTAACAGTATCTATAGTATACCAGAGTCAAGCCATATTCTCTAAGGAGTAATCTATCAGAGGCCTCATACCAATGCTGGGGCAGAGGGAGACTGAAGCCAACTGTGGGCATGGCTGACAGTGGACAAGCCAAGTCCTCTTCTTTCTCTTTCCTTTTCCACTTGTCCCTTACAGCATACTGCTGGGTGAGAAAGAGATCAGCCTTGTCAGAGGCCTGAATGGACTTGCCAAGAACTTTCAAAACTAGACCATAGTTGTACTGTGTGCTGTCCTCTCTTTGTTCTGAATTTACCACCAATTACATTTCAATAGGGTAACCCTAAATTCTAATATTATGACAAATGGGGGGTTAAACTGTTCACTTTCTCCATATCATGCCTTCTTTTATATGCTGCTGTCATTTATCTCTGTCTCTACTTGCTTTCTTATCCTCAACTAGAAAAGGCCAATATCTTTTACCACAATTTGCAGTTAATCAGCTAATAATCAGGAAGAGAAGAAGGGAAAAGGAAGAGAATCATTCCAACAAGCTCATTCCTGTAATGCAAACTCTGATTTAGCAGTATATCTGAGTCAAATATATAAACCAAGTACTACCATATTCACTGTAGACTCAAACATTTTATCAAACATTCTTAAAAGTATTTTCCCCTGAAAGCAAAACTTGTAACAGACTTGCTTCAAAAGGGAGCACACAGGGTAAATGAATACAGAGGTAGCAGGCAGATAAAAACTTTCTTCAGCAATTTGTAATGGAGTTACTTAAACAACAATTCTCAATTTAAGAATAACATATGTAAGAGTACCCCATGTTTTTCCATGAAATGTTTATCTTGATTTCCTTTCTGTGGCACTCAACTATTTTCTGGCATTTGTCCTCAAAATGAACAGTTGGTGATTCATGGGATTATAACACCAGCTAATTATAAATCAACATTTTAAAAATGCAAATCCAGATGTCAGAGGAGGACGTAATCTAAATTCATCCATCACCAGCTACTAACAGGGTTCTCAAAAGAAAGGTTTATACTTGAGGTACTCTTAAAACAAGATGAAGAAGAGAAGAAACCAATCAGAGAAGCTGAACAGTGAATACCACTTGATATTTGGAACTTACCATCATGTGATCTGGTTATTTGCTGAGGTTAGGAATAAGAGGTGAGGGAAAACCCTAGATCAGTGATGGCAAACCTTTTAGAGATGAGTGCCCAAACTACAACACAAAACCCACTTATTTATCACAAAGTGCTGCACTGCTTTGGCTTTCTAGTAATGAACTCTGGCGAACTCTGTGCTGGGGCGATGGTGTGCATGCCCACAGAGAGGGCTCTGAGTGCCCTCTCTGGCACATGTGCCATAGGTTTGCCACCACTGCCCTAGATATTATGATGTAATATGGCAATATCAAAGAAAGCTGACTTTTACCAAATCAGGCCATTGCTCAGTTTAGTCCAGGGGTAGGCAACCTTTCCCCTTTAAGGGCCGAAGGACTTCAGCTCCCAGAAGCCTCAGCCATGTTGGCCAATAGTCCCATGTTGGCCAATAGCTCCTGGGATTCTGGGAGCTGAAGTCCCTCGGCCCTTAAAGGGGAAAGGTTGCCTACCCCTGGTTTAGTCTAACACTGTGAGCAGTAGTGCCTGAGAACTTCAGACAATAGCTTTTCCTAGCTCTGCCTACTGATGCCATGGGTTGACATTGGGAACTTTGGCATACAAAGCATATGCTTATTTCAAGGCCCATGATCAGTACAGAAACAAAAACTTCCTTCTCTATCTCCTCTGTGGGAATCCCAATGTATAGAAAGGGTCATACATATCTGTTTCTCAAGACTTCTGTTTTTCCACAGATAATTGTGAGAGTTACTAGCTATATTAACTTACTTCAGACCAGGTGGTTTGCAGTCATTTTCCATGATCCACAAATATGACTGGTGCGACAGAAATAGGTTAGCCTGAAAAGTCTTCAGTTTCAGCACATTTAATAATGCAATGATTGCTAGATGGCAGTGGTGCATGAAGGGTGGAAACATTAGCATGCCATCACACCACCCTGAACATACCTCATTCCATCTGATTTCAAAAGTTAAGCAGGGTCAGAACTGGTTAGGAAACCACCAGGGAATCTTCATGTAGGGCTAGGAATGAATTCTGCCTTAAATGCTAAAGAACTGTTGCCAGTCAGAGCTGGCAATATCGGGCCTGATGGAGCAATAGCCTGACACTGTAAGGCTGTTTCCTATATTTCTATAACAATAAAAAACACTCTAAGCAGGATGTCACTTACAGGTTCACAGACCCCTAAGCTCAGCATAACATATGCACAGAACCTTAGTGTCTGAAAGAACTTCTCAGGAGTACAGTGGGCTCTTGGTATCTACTGATGTTTAATTCCAGAACCCCTCTCCCATGGATGCTCAAATCCCATTATACACAATAGGGTAGTAAAATGGTGTCCCTTATATAAAATGACAAAATGATGGTTTGCTTTTTGGAATTTATTTTTAATATTTTAATAATATTTTCAAACCATGGGATGGCTGA